TCGGTCGTTTTATTGAGTAGAAAAGGAACTTTTCAAGCGAACTACAATTAGTTATTGTCTTCAGAGGAACTGTTTTGGGAGAATGATTCGATTTAAAAGAGTTAAAAAGATTCCATATTCGCATGCCAAGATCGAATCATTTTCATTGGCGAATTTGAGTACAAATTGTGCAATACTATTTTAGAATATTCTGATATTAAATTATTTAAGGCACTATAATGTTTCTCTAATTATAAGGAAATTAAAATTTGAAATTAACCACATGAAAAGGCTGAAATTTCTAGACATACCTCCATGAAATCTCTTTGTAGATGATACTTCTCCGTGGGACCTCTTACAGAAGCAAAGATTTATGTGGCTTTTGCTTATGGAAAAAGGATTATGCATTCAGATAGAATATATAATTATATGCCATTGTAAAAGAGTTCTGAAATTTCTTCTTTATCTTAGGTATTGCTTTGCTCTTTTTTGACATTCATGTCATTTCGTGTAAACGGCTCTAAAAGATTAATTTTCCACCAATTTTGATTCTGGCCTTTGTCTTCTTCCGTCGGCTGTTACCTCGTTGGAATGGCCGATATATATTCAATAAGAACACATACATACTTTAGTAAGCAAAATTTCCCCCCCTCAATTAAAGTCCATTAGTTATAGCTGAAGAAAATTGGGGTGGATTCGTACTTGTTAATGAATAAAATAAAAGTTAAATGAAAAATAGTAAGATATGTCAGACAATTTAATTATGGTTGGAAAAAAATATATACACAAACAAACTCAACGAAACAAATAAGTGTAGGAAAGAGAAAACACAAATTTACATAGTTTTACAAACTCACCTACGTTCAAATAAGAGAAAAAATCAAATTCACTAATCAAATATTAAAATTACGAATTCTTTATACTCTCTCAACCTTACTATTCATAAAAAAATGCAAAATGTGTAGCTTTATTTCTTTCCTTACTATGGTCTCTCTTTTCCTACATCATGTTTGTGTGAGTCACTGTATATGTCATTCCTTAATGCTAAGTTTTTAGCACAATTCCCTCAAAAATTGATAAGTTTCCTTCATTCCGTTATTTCTTTATGTTAATAATTTCTTTTTGTTAGTTCCATATCAATGTTTTAACGCCAAAATGAATAAATTAAACTTGTAGAAAATTAAAGAATCAACATAATAATTTTTCTCCTACTAACAGAACCGAATGTTCACATTTTTTAAATGTTACTCACTCGTTGAACCTCTACAGGATAGAATAGGCTCTAATACTAAAAATCGAATCAAGAACCGTTCAACACAAATGTTCGAAAAAAAATTTCAAATTTCTTCAACTTCTCTCTGGCCTCACAAAATTTACAAAACAGTGCTCAGCATGGTAAACAGAAGCTCTCCTCTTAATCTCCACTTAGTATACATCAAAATCTAAAGATATTGCACAGAAGAATCACAAGAAAACTTTGAGAGAAAACAAGAGATAGAAAACCAAAATTTGCTCACTCACTTGTGTGTTAAAAAAAAAAAGGTCAAGCCCTTATGAAAGAGGCAATCCAAACCCCCTCCATCAAACATCACGCAGTGCAAAATAAGGAATTCAAACGAAAATTTTAAGAACACTAATTTATAATCCCCAGAAAATAAATGATAAATTTAAAAAGTTTTATTAATTCCAAGCTGCTCAAACACAAAGAATTAACCATTTATTTATATGGGTTTAAATGAAACCCTAGTCTAAAAGGAATTAAAATTGTAAAGAATTTGAATAAATTAAATGACAAAAATAAAACTAAAACTTTAGAAGCAATTTTACAGCCCGTCGCATCATTTCCTTTTCATAAAGGTATTATTGGCACAAATTTGAGATCGAACGCCAAATTTGTAATTTACTATTTTACCCTTTTCGAACTAACTGTTCATCAATCCATTCGGTCATTCGTTCTACATCACAACATATTACAAGTGCTCAACAAGATTGAACAAGCAATATGTTGGGAATTTGAACCAATTTCTTGATTTCATTGAAGATCATCCATCCACAAAATATATAAAAAATAAATAAAATAAAATAAAAAAAGAGTAAATAAAAGTCAAAATGACAAATAACTGTATGTACAAGAACACAAGAATTAATATGTAAGACTCCAAAATCAGTGAAAAATACAGGAGTCACTCACCAAAAATTTCAAGTAAAATAAAAAATCTAAATACCAAGAAAATCTCTTATATTTTGGGCATGTTTGAGCCACATTATTTAAAAAAAAAAAAAACAACTTTTTTCAACAGTGATTTGATATCATTTCAACCACACATTTTTTAATAAAATAATATACACGCAATGTAAGGATTTTTTTAATCCATTGATGGGCTTATATGTGTGAATAATTTTGTGTTAAATTAAAGGCTAACAAATTCGGTTAAGCCCAATTAAAGTGGTTTAATAAGGCTTCGATTTGGGGTTTTAATGTATCCAATTAAAGTATGGGTTTACATATGTATAGAGACCGGACCCAAGTCCTAATTCTATGATGGGCCGAATTAGGTCAAAGGGCATTGCTATATAAATACGGTTATGGTCCCCAAATCACACGTACGAATTATTTACCTTACTTCTGCATCCCATCATAGAGAGAAAAAGGAGGCTGCTTGTAGATTTGGAAGATTATACCACAAAATTCATTATTACATTAACATTACAGGTTGAGACAACCGCCTACAAGAGACTGGATCGTTATGAAAGAATTGTTGCAATACCAATTTCTTGCTAAAGATTATATTCAGGCCTTGTAACAGCAGTTTTTGGATTGTAGGAAATGAAATTGTTCGGTTGCTACATATACGGAGGAGTTATTGAAGTTACAATAACGTCCTAATATAATGGAGGCTGATGATTATTAGATTGCACGATTTGTAACGGGATTAAATTATGAAATTCAGGATAAGATAGGAGGTCAACCCATTTATTCATTATAGATGCCAGGGAGATGGCATTCTAGGTAGAATCACTGCTAACATAGTAAACACGTTGTCCTCCACTGTTTAGGAGTGTAACACATTAAGTTAAAAAAAAAAAAAAAAAAAATTCAAACAAAAAAAAATATAGAATAATGAGGCGATGGAATTGGATTCCAAAACCAAATTAATAACACACTCACAGACAAACACAAGAAAACAGTGCAGAGAAGAAGAAGAGAGAAAAAAAGAAAGGAAAAAGAGGTGAAAAAAAGGGAAAAGAAGAAGAAAAGAAGAAAAAAGGGGGAAAACTCGACAACATGTTAGGAATTAAGTGGGTTATACTATTAGATTTGAATTTCTCAATTTCGAAAAGTAAGTAAAAAGTCACTTATTGAAAGGTTATGTTTAATTTTATAGTTGTTAGATTATTAAATTTAATTTAATTTTATTGAAGGGGTTAAGTATAATAAACTATGAAGTTAAATAAAATGAAAGAAAAATTAGTTTTAGTAATTAAATAGACTTTAGAAATCGCCTAAATGTGAAATAATTAAGTTTGAGTATCGCCTATTTAATTATTGAAATTACTTAAATTAGTTAATTGTTGATTTAAAAATTATATTATATTTCAGACGGCGATACGTATATCGGGACAGTGTATCAATCGAGTTGATTTTAGTGTACATAGTTATGTGAGAAGAAAAATATAAATATTTTTAAAGTATTTATAAATTAAGTATATTATAAAGATATGTGCAATTATGTGTTCGATTATATAATTATTATGGAAATCTCTTTTATTATGATATATATGAAATTTCAAAGCTTACTTGTGGTACATTTATGATTTGGTATGTAAGACATGTAATATTGAGATCGGCAAGAAAAGTACCCATGATTATATACTTCTTCTAAGTCACAGAGGGGCATTGACCGTGTTCTATCCTACACGGAGAGTCTTGACCTGACATTGGTCTTGATCGTGTACATATAATTCACAGAGGGGCCATGGCCGTGTTCTAGAATTGATTATGAGAAATCTTTGAGACCGACTTTCGTTCACGGAGGGGACAAAAGGCCTATGACGAAAGTTCTTAGCCCGAGAGGCGGATTACATATTTCAGTCAGAGGGTACATTTTTGGTGAATTTTTCAGCACGTTTGATGTAATGATATTATAGCATGATTATCAGCTGATGTTATATCATGATTTTAAGATAATATCTTATGACCTTATGTGAATATTTCACTTTTTGACTATAATTACATGATGTTAGCTTGTAAATTATCAAATGATATGAATTTTATTTTCAATAAAAATGTTTAAATGAAAAATTATATTTCTTTTGAACTTTTCCACTCACTAAGCTATCAACTCATATATTTTTTCACGTTTTTCTTTATCAGGAAGTAGTTGAGAATCTGGGCATCTTTTGGGGTTGAGCCTTGATTTTGGAGTCAAAGTCACATGACAGAGTTTGTTAATATGACTCACTTCATAGAACATGTAGTCAGTGTTTTGGGACGCATGTTCGTATCTAGATGTGATTTTACATCACTTGTAGATAGTTATGGGGCTTACTATGTATTTTGTATTCATATGTATATTTCATTTTATTTCTTGATAAAGGTTGAGATTTCGGCTTATCTTTATTGTACTGTGCTATAGTTTGTAATTTGTGTGAAATTGATCATAGGTTGGTTAGTCCTATTTATAGGGGAGATAATGCCAAAATTCTGTTAGAAAAATGATGTATAAAAAGTGATATATTGTATTTGTAGTAGCCTTAATGGTGGGTCCGACTTTTAGTTGATATTTATCATCGACGAATGCCATGTCCGGATCTAGTGAGTCATGCCTCGTGGTGGCAAAACTCAAAGGCTCCAAGATATATTGCCCAAGTCTCACATTGCTCCTAATAAAGATGGACTGAGAGAGCCCGAGAGAGTAGATGAATCAGTTCACCAGCCTCCTGAACAACAGGGATAGGGAAATGTGATTGGAACTAATCCTATTGCTGTTGAAAGAATTGCTATTGCCGTTGTATCTGCTATGCGTAATACTAACAGAGATTTTAGTATTAAAAAGGCTACAAAGTTAGAGGCTAAAGTGTTCACTGGCATAGCCGATCCTGCAGTTGTGCAGGCATGGATGACCAAGATAGAAAGGGTATTTGACGTTATGGCTTGCTCAGACGATCAGAAGTTGTGTCTTGCCACCTTCTTATTAGAGGAGGGTGTGTATGACTGGTGGCAGTTGTACAGAGCACATATCTAGACCCTTCCATCATTACTTGGACAGATTTTCATCGTATCTTTTACGATGCCTATTATCCTCGGTCCTATAAAGATGCAAGGCAGGAGGAATTTTTGAAACTTGTACAAGGGCAGATGATAGTTGTAGAATATCAGGTGAAATTTATTGAACTTTCAAAGTATGCCCAAGTTTTAGTAAGCAACGAAATTGATAAATGCAGACGATTTGAAAATGGGTTAAGGGAAGAAATCAGGTCAGTAGTAACAGCTGTAGGTTAGAATGAATTTGACAAATTGGTGGAATCAGCTTTGAGAGTAGAAAAGAGCATTTTTGATAGACCAAGTAGTAGAGAACAAACAATGTTCAGAGCAAGCGATAGTCAGACAATGGCAAGTGCTTCTAGCTATAGACCACCGCGGAGGGACAGTAGAGGATTTCGACCTGGTGTATCCAGTTCAGGTCAATTCAAATCTCGGTTCCGAGAAAATCAGGGTTCTAAATTTAGTCCCAATACTGTACAGCAGCCATTGGCCGGTTGTAATTATACTCAGGGTTCTTTCCAGAGATCATTTACTCCGAGACAGGGAGAGAGTTCTACTAGTGCCAGATTTTCGTCTTGCCAATTATGTGGAAGATCTCATCCTGGAGAGTGTTTAAAGTTCAAGGAAGTTGGTATTTGCTATCGCTGTGGCTAAGAAGGACATCTGAAAAGGAATTGCCCAGTTGTATTCCAGGAGGGTGGCATGGCATAGAGGATGTTTCCTCAGCAGAGTGATGGTAGTACAAGACAAAATCAGACTCAGAGAGATGTTCAGCTAATAGAGTAGGTATAAACAGTGTGGCCTAATCTAATATCGCAAGCGGTAGTGGTACAAAATCAAAAGGGCAAGCAGGACGACTGAAGACCTAGGGCAGAGGAGTCACCAGATGTTATCATGGGTGTGTTGTCTATTTTTGATAGAAATGCTCGTATTTTGATTGATCCTGGATCTACACATTGCTTTATGTCATTTCCATTTGCTTTATATGCGAATCAAAAATCAGAACCTCTTGGCAGTTGTTTGATAATGAATACAACAGTAGGAGAATCACTATTAGCAAACAATATATATCGAGATTGTGGGATTAAGGTAAAGGAGAAAGAGCTGAAGGCAAATTTAATACCTCTTGACCTACATGATTTCGATGTTATCTTGGGTATGAATTTTCAGGCAACAAATCGAGCATCAATTGATTGTTTTCGAAAGGAAGTTGTGTTTAGACAGCCAAGGCAACCTGAAATTATATTCAATGGACAACATAGAATTTACCGTCTTGTGTGATATTTGCTATTGACGCTAGAAGATTACTCAACAAGGGCTGCCATGCATATTTAGCTCATGTGATTGATACATATGTTGACATCCCAGTAGTCACTGACTTTCCTGATGTATTTCCAGAAGAATTACCAGGCTTACCGTCAGACAGGGATGTGGAATTCACTATAGATCTGATTCCAGGAACTGTAACTATTTCACGAGTACCCTATAGAATGGCACCAGCAGAATTGAAAGAGCTAAAGGTTCAGTTGCAAGAGTTGGTAGACAAGGGTTTCATTAGACCTAGTGTATCTCCATGGGGAGCACCAGTTTTGTTTGTGAAAAAGAAAGATGGCACCGTGCAACTGTGCATAAATTACAAACAATTGAACAAAGTGATAATTCGCAATAAATATCCTTTACCACGTATTGATGATCTGTTTGATCAGTTTCGCGGTGCTGCAGTATTTTCAAAGATTGATTTACATTCTGAATACCATCAACTTAAAATCAGGGACAGTGATGTGCCAAAAATTGCTTTCTGGACAAGGTATGGTCATTTTGAATTTCTTGTGATGTCATTTGGGTTGACCAACGTACCAGCAGCATTTATGGATATGATGAATAGAGTGTTTCTCCCATATTTAGATAGATTTGTGATTGTATTCATTGATGATATTTTAGTGTACTATCGAGATCATGATGAGCACACAGAACATCTCAGAATCATTTTGCAGACTCTACATGATAAGCAGTTGTATACTAAATTCAGTATACAATTGCAAGATTGATTATCATCCAGGGAAGGCTAATGTAGTTGCTGATACTCTCAGTTGGAAAATATTGAGTCCTATAACCCAGACTAATGAAGTATATTCATCTTTGTTTGATGAGTTCAGAGCTTCTCATGCCCAATTATTAGTTACAAGTGTAGGAGCATTGTTTGCCAACTTCCAAGTGAGGCCTACTTTGATTGACCCAATTAGAGAAACTCAAACTTAAGATCCAATGTTGAGCAAATTGAAAGAAGAAGTTAGTAAAGGTAAGCATACATATTATACCATTCGAGATGACAGGGCTTTAGTTATGAGAAACAGATTATGTGTTCCAGATGATTCGAAATTGAAGGGAGAAATTCTAGAAGAGTCACATAGTTTAGCTTACGTGATGCATCCAGGTAGTACAAAAATGTATCGTGTACTCAAAGAACACTATTGGTAGCATGGAATAAAGAGAGAAATAGTTGAGTTTGTATCCAGATGTCTCATTTGCCAGCATGCGAAATCAGATCGTTAGAAAACAGTAGGATTGGCACAAACGTTGCCTATTTCTGAGTGAAAATGGGAACACATTACTATGGATTTTCCATTCGGACTTCCACGGACTCAGAGTGGACATGATGACATATGGATCATTGTAGACAGGTTAACGAAGACTGCTAGATTTTTGCCTATTAAAGTCACTTACTCATTAGACAAATTGGCAAAAATATATGTTAATGAGTTATTCAGCTTGTATGGGACACCAGTATATATTGTTTCAGATAGAGACTCTCATTTCACTTCTAAATTTTGGCCTAGTTTGCAGAAAACTATAGGTACTAAACTTCATTTCAGTACAGCTTTTCATCCTCAAACAGATAGCCAGTCAAAAAGAACTATTCAAACTTTGAAAGACATGTTATGATCTTGTGTACTACAGTTCAAAGGGAATTGGGATAGTCATCTTTCTTTGATAGAGTTTGCTTATAATAACAGTTATCATTCGAGTATAGAAATTGCTCATTTTGAAGCACTGTATGGTAGGAAATGCAGAACTCTAGTATATTGGGATGAAGTTGGTGAAAGAAAGTTATTGGGTCCTGAATATATCCAGATTACTACTGAAAAAGTAAAGATAATTAAAGAAAAGTTAAAGACAGCCCAAGATAGATAGAAGAATTATGCAGATAGACGCAGAAGAAACCTTGAATTTGATGATGGGGATAGAGTTTTCCTGTGATTGTCGCCATGGAAAGGTGTTATAAGATTTGGTAAATAAGGTAAATTGAGTCCGAGGTATATTGGCCAATATGAGATTGTTGAACGTATCGGTCCAACTGCGTATCGATTGGCTTTGCCAACAGAATTGTCCAGAATTCATGATGTATTCCATGTTTCCAGGCTTCGTAAGTATATTCCATATCCATCTCATGTTTTGGAATCACAACCAGTAGAACTGAAGGAAAATCTTACCTATGAAGAAGAACCAGTTTAGATATTAGACAGGAAGGAACAGGTCTTGTGTAGTAAGACTATTCTTTTTGTCAAAGTTTTGTGGAGAAATCATGCTGTAGAAGAAGCGACATCGAAAAATGAAGAGCAGATATGTTCTCAGTATCCACAACTTTTTCATACATGATTAATTGAATTTCGAGAACGAAATTCTTTTAAGGGGGTGAATTTTGTAATACATTAAGTTAAAAAAAAAAAAAGTCAAACAAAAAAAATAGAATAATAAAGCGGTTCCACCCAAAACCAAATTAATAACACACAACACACACAAACACAAGAAAATGGTGCAGAGAAGAAGAAGAGAGAAAAAGAGAAAGGGAAAAGAGGGGAAAAAGGGAAAAGATGAAGAAAAAGAAGGGGAAATAAAGGGGAAAACTCGTCAACATGTTAGGAATTAAGTAGGTTATACTATTAGGCTTGAATTTCTCATTTTTGAAAGGTAAGTAAAAAGTTACTTATTGAAATGTTATGTTTGATTTTATAGTTGTTAGATTGTTAGATTAAATTCAATTTTATTGAAGGGGTTAAGTATAATAAACTATGAAGTCGAGTAAAATGAAAGAAAAAAATTAGTTTTAGTAGTTAAAGAGACTTTAGAAATCGCCTAAACGTGAAATAATTAAGTTTGAGTATCGACTATTTAATTATTGAAATTACTTAATTTAATTAATTGTTGATTTAAAAATTATATTATATTTCAGGGGCGATACGGATATCAGGACAGTGTACCAATTGAGTTGATTTTGACGTACATAGTTCTGTGAGTGGAAAAATATAAATATTTTTAAAGTATTTATAAATTAAGTATATTATCAAGATATGTGCAATTATGTGTTCGATTATATGATTATTATGGAAATCTCTTTTATTATGATACATATGGAATTTCAAAGATTACTTGTGTTACATTTATGACTTGGTATATAAGACATGTAATATTGAGACCGGTTAGAAAAATACCCATGATTATATACTTCTTCTAATTCACAGAGGGGCATTGGCCGTGTTCTATCCTACACGGAGGGTCTTGACCTGACATTGGTCTTGATCGTGTACATATAGTTCACAGAGGGGCCATGGTCGTGTTCTAAAATTAATTATGAGAGATCTTTGAAACCAATTTTTGTTCACGGAAGGGGTCAAAGGCCTGTGGCGAAAGTTCTTAGCCTGAGAAGCAGATTACATATTTCAGTCAGAGGGTACATTTTTTGTGAATTTTTCAGCACGTTTGATGTGATGAGATTATAGCATGATTATCAGCTGATGTTATATCATGATTTTAAGATGCTATCTTTTGAACTTATGTGAATATTTCACTTTTTGGCTATAATTACATGATGGTAGCTTGTGAATTATCAAATGATATGAATTTGATTTTCCATAAAAATGTTTAAATGAAAAAGAATATTTCTTTTGAATTTCCCCACTCGCTGAGCTATTAACTTATATTTTTTTCCACGTTTTTCCTTATCAGACAGCAATTGAAAATCTGGGCATTTTTTAAAGTTGAGCATTGATTTTGGAGTCAGAGCCACACGACAGAGTTTGTTAGTATGACTCATTTCATAGAACATGTAATCAGTGTTTTGGGACGCATGTTCGTATCTAGATGTGATTTTGCATTACTTGTAGATAGTTATGGGGCTCACTATATGTTTTGTTTCCATATGTATATTTTATTTTATTTCTTGGTAAAGGTTAAGATTTCAGCTTATCTTTATTGTACTGTGCCATAGTTTTGGATTTGTGTAAAATTGATTACAGGTTGGTTAGTCCTGTTTACAAGGAAGATAATGTCGAAATTCTGTTAGAAAAATAATGTATAAAAAGTGATATATTGTATTTGTAGTAGCCTTGATGGTGGGTTCGATTTTTAGTTGGTATCTATCATCGGCGTATGCCACGGCCGGATCTAGTGGTTTTACACGGGGCAGGGTGTGTCAAGGAGAAATTCAGATGATATAGTTTGAATAACACCAGAAATGTTACGTACGTCCCATATCGTGACTAAACCACCTGCTGTCAACAATGCAGTGAAATCTAAATAAGCAGTAACTAGAGACAGGTCGACTAAAAATATCAATGGTTGAGAAGTGTTATAGATGTGAAAAGTTCGAACATAAA